ATTCCTTTAATTTAATTTTTATCTTTTAGTAAAATTTTTGCTATGTAAAATCTCTTGATTTGTTGTGTCACATATATCGAATGCTTCAAATTCTCTATGAGTCACAAAACTGGTCATTCCATCCTTGAATTAATTAATTGAAATTTTCATAAAATAGTTGATTTATTATTTGCAACAAAATTATGATTTACTTGTTGAAAAGTTTAATTTATCATAGATTCTGGGCATGGTGAATGCTTTTGATCTACAACTAAATTTCTATATTCATTCAGATAATCTGTTGATTATACCTTTGATGTTTTCAATATTATCACCACTATATATTCTGATTGGGATTATTCCTCAGCTGATTCACGATTGAGTTTAAAAATTGGAACATTAGTAATTATTGTATAGAATTGAAAAGGTATCCCCGATGTTTTAGTATTTCAAATTGTTTTGAACAAACAAATTCCTACAACTACTTTCAAAAGATTTTTCTTTTATTTTTTCGTGTGTTCTGAGTTTTTCCAATTCCCCATAGTATGATCTCAAACTTTCGAGTTTATATATTACTTCATGAAAACCTATGTTTAGGTTTGCATATTTTAAGTTGTAGTAAGTTTTCGGCATCGTTGCTCGGGATTTGTTGAGCACACCGCCATATCTATTTAGGTTTGTTTGATTTACGATTCAACGGAGATTTGGTAATCTCGTTTCATTTTTTATTTTCTATTATTTAATTTTTTGGCTTTTTATTTATTTATTTTTGCTTCTACCCTATCTATTTTTATTTTTGTATGAGTTCTTGGCATCGTGGATCAATTGGATGTTTAATTATAGAAGATTTAGAAGTGCTTTTTGGTGATTTATTTAATTCCCTTGTACAATCTTACACACCGAACACGATGGTTGATGATGATGTTAGAAGTAATTAAGATGACAATGAGATTAATAATGTGTATGTTAATTAGGGTAGGACTTTGTGTGAGTATTTGCAACCTGCACTACACACTACACCATCATGCATTATCTTTCCTCTATAGGTGACAAAGTTTCTTTTTAAACCTGGGATGAAAGCATTACTCCCTAAATTTCATGGCCTAGACTCTGAAAATTCTTACTTGCATATTAGAGATTTCGAGGAAGTATGCGCCACTTTTCATGATCACACTGTGACTGAAAGCATAGTCAGGTTGAAGTTTTTTTTCCTTTTTCACTAAAGGAAGAAGCTAAGACTTGGCTAAATTCTCTTAGACCTAGATCAATTGGCACCTTGCAAGAGGTGTAGAAAGGATTTTTGAAAAAGTTTTTTTGAAAAAGTTTTTTTCCCACAAACTACACGAACTCTTTAGATAGGCAAATTATGAACTTCTCACAAAAAAGAGAATGAAACCTTTTATCAATGTTTGAATAGTTCTAAGGACCTGCTTGCATCTATCCCACATTATGATTATCAAAGTTGTCACATCATAAATTTTTTCTATGAAATTTTTATCATCCTAGATGTGCCAAATTATTGAAATGATGTGTAACAGTGAATTTATGGCCAAGGAGCCTGATGAAGCCTTTGATTATTTTAATCATTTGTTTGAAATTGCATACTCTTGAGATACTTCATCCCCTAATACTTTTTCTAAAAATAAACCTTCAGGTGCTTCATCAGGTGGTGGTGAATACTAATTAAGGGATGAGGATGACCATGGTGCTAGAATTGCCACATTGTCTACACAAGTTGAGGCAATGGAGGTGAGGAAGGTTAATGTGGTATAGGCTATTCCCCAAGTAGAAATTTGTAGCATTTGTGTGGTCCAGGGTCATTCCACAAAGGAGTGCCCCACTATTAATGCACTTAAAGAAGTTTTACATGACCAAGAAAATGCTATGAATAACTTTTCTAAGCCTTACCAAAATTCCTGTTCTGAAACTTACAATTTGGGGGAAAAAATAATCCCAACTTTAGCCCGAAGGAATGATAATGATGCACAACAATTACTTTCTCAAGGTCCCTCTAATTTTGTGCTTTACACTCCACCCCCAAAGAGGAACCTTGAGGATGCTATTGTGTCATTGTAGCATTTTGTGCAAAGTCAGACCAATTTTGCCAATTAGACAACTCATGGTTTGAATGTCATTAGAAGCACCCTTACTAAGGTGACCACTGCACCGTGTCATCAGGAAAAAGTTAAGTTTCTGGCATAACTACACCCTAATTTGCATGATCAATTTAATATAGGCGAATCTACTAAATCTGATACTACACATGAGCTGGTCCAATCTACTAAATCTGATACTATATAATATTAGATATCATTGAACTTTCATAAACACTAAGTCAGGTGCTATTTATTTTATATTTGTGTTTAATTTTCTATTATCTAAAACAATATATAATTATAAATCTATATATACATAGTCAATTAATCTCAAAGTGAATCGATTTAAGGTTAGCATAAAAATTATAGTTGTACATACTTATTTTATATCAAGGTGTAGACGATTTTATCCATTTTAATTATAGGCATCAGGATTTGCCAAGAGGTACGCCTCAACAACCTTGGATATTCCCATGGCCTTTTCTCTTTGCCACCCTCAATATCCTCTTCTTTGATCTGAACATCACCTTTGGTGTTGTATTTGTTGTTGATTTTGCAGATTGACCCTCCATCACTAGAGGGTTCAAATTTGACCACATAAGAGATTGATTCAAGCACACCAATCAAAGTGTCGCCTTCGACTATGCTTCAACTGTAGGTGACCTCCATGTTTAGTATCTATTACACCGTGTTTAATGAGAACACCTTTAGTTGTTAGAGCAACTCGAAGCCAACTTTTCAAAATTGTTAGCTAAAATATATTTAAATATTATATTCTCTATTTTACGTAGCCACTTTTACAAATTTACTTTAATCATGCTCTCTATTTTAACTAATTACTCCAACTAATTTTCAATAATATATGCCAACAAAGTGTTTGATAAAATGCCAAAAGATAGGTACCAAATGAATTCATAGCCAATACATAAAAATTTCAGAATCAATGCAAATTAGATTGTGTTTTTAGTTCAAACCATTTTCTTAAATTCTGTTATTCATTGCTAAACCAGAAAAATTCATAGTTAAACCAAAAAAATTCCAGGAAAAATAAAAATTGAACACATCTCCTCCTCCTAAAACTCTTCACCTCCCTTCACAGAATAGTAGTGATTTCCTACCTTGTAGAACATACTAGTGATCTTTTACCTCGCAGAACAGACTAGTGGTTTTTTGAGTTCTTGATTTCATTATTTGGAGTATCAAAATCATCTCAAGCTTCTGTTTGGGCATTAAGGTTTTTGTCGACTCAAGCACACGAAGAGAGAGAGAGAAAGATAGAGAGGATCCATACTTTAATTAAGATGAGCTCTCATGAAGACGATGAAGCCACAGTGCGAAAAGACCAACCCCCCAAATTGGCATAAAGAGCAAAGAGTGAGGGAGCCTTGCTCGTCAGAAGTAACGAGTGAAAAAAAGGGAGGTAAAATTACTAGTGGAATGAAGAATTCGAGAGAAATTTTTTAGATTGGCTCTTCAAAATAGCCCAAAAATGACTTTTATCGAGCGGGTTGGAGTTGCTCTTAAACCAGACTATACATTGACATGGCCGAGAAACCAAAAGTCGGTCGGTTGGAGCATATGTAAGCTCTTGGTTTTGAGATATTGTTGAATGGTATGTGATATTAAATAGATGAAGCCTTTATTAATAATATGTGATAGCTCCTAGGATCCACTCAAAAGGGTTTGTAATCCGTCACCACTCTATACAACATTAATAAAATCATTAATATGAAGGACATAGTTGACAGTATATTTTGAGTCATTTTAAAAGAATTATAATGAATGTCTTTGTGTTCTTCTTTTTGAAGTTGAGGAATTGTTTGCAATTTTTTTTGTGTCACATTATATTTTCAAGCATAGACAAATTAATTATTAATATTAAGTATAAATATAGATACAGATATATATAGATTCCTTAAAATAAAAATATTGCAGTATAAGAGCAACTCCAACGACAGGTGCCATCAGTGGTGACAAATCCCTAACTATCAAAATGCCACCCCAAAATAAAAAATTTTCACTTCAAGGGGGTTGACATCAAGGGTTGCAAAATGACACTTATGGACTTGGGGTGATAAATTTGTAAATTCTAGAGAGAGAAAATAGAGGTTGCAAAAAAAAAGGTTGGAAATACAGAAAAAGAAAAGGGGAAAGAGGCTTGCTTGAAAATTGTTGGTGTCTACTGCTTGCCTGGAAATGGAATCGCAGGGTAAGGGGAAGTGAGTAGAGTCTGAATCGCAGGGAAAGGGAAAAAGAAAGGGAGAAAGAAAGAGTTTGTCTTTGATCGTTCCAATTACTATTTATTTTAGGAAAAATAACACTTTGAATTCCAAAATTTTTTTCATATTACATTATTAATTTTTTTGTATTATCATATTACACCATGAAGTTTTTTGTATTGCTATTATTTATGAAAAATTATGTATTGAAAATACAACTTGAAATTGAAATTGAAATTAAAAATACAACTTGAAATTGAAAATATTAAAAATATTAAAATAGCACCCTATTTTGACACCTATCATTGGAGAAAATTTAAAAATCAAGGGTGTCAAAACACTGTTCAAGATTGTAAAATGACATTTGACACTCCAAAAATAACAACTTCCCTTCGAATTGCTCTAAATATAATAAGAGTAATGTTAGACTAACTAAATTTTAGGATTAAATTTAAAGTCTAAATAACATGACAGTTAATTATTTAAAATTTTTATTGTAGCCAAAATAACATGACACCAATAAAAAAAAACCCAAATCAACTACCATTTCATTTAATCTCTAAATTTGATTAGTCTAGAATTACTGAAATAATAACGTCTGTATTGTACGAAACTCACATGGACATCTGTATAATTTGCCAAAAACAATTTTATTTGTTAGAAAAAGAGAACGACATGAAAAGTGCTTCGGAGAGTCCGGCGGAGTATGGGCATCGGCGGACCTTTCCACCTCCCACTAGTCTTCTTGAACTCCACAACTCCTCGTCCTCTAAAACTCTTCCCACTTCTACTTCTACATACACATCACCATCACGGCGCCTTCTCTTCTACTCGCCGCCGGATATTTGTCTCAGCACAATCATCATCGGAATTAACCATGAGTGCTACTACATTTCAAGATTCGATGACTCCGCCGGTGGCGAAGAAGGTGAAGCATGTGATGGAGATGTTCGGCGATATTAGAATCGACGACTACTACTGGCTTCGAGACGATTCTCGTTCCAACCCGGAGGTCCTCTCTTATCTCCAAGAGGAAAATGCTTACACCGATTTCTTCATGTCCGGTATATATAAGTCTATCTATCGCTACAATGTTTTTGTGATCAGTATTATTATTTTTGTCGTTTCCCCGCTTCCTTAATTTAATAAACCAAAAAAGAAGGAATTTGTCCTAAGATTAATTCTTTAGGATTCTCGTACTACAGTGCTTTTATAATTATCATATTTAGCCATTTTTTTTGTTGCACTACGAAGTTTTCTGGGCAAAAATCAAGAGAAGCAGCGACATTTATAATCAGCATACCAATTTGCACATGCATAGGGTGTCAGAGAAGCCATTATTATTTTAATTCTTGTCATTTTTCTAATCTGTTATTTATTTAGCATCTCCCGAATTGGGTGGGATAGCGTTGTTGGTGTGACTGGGTAGCTTATAATGTTCCATGATTCTTTTAGGGACCAAACACTTGGAAGATGAGATTTATGCCGAGATGAGAGGACGAATCAAGGAGGATGACATATCAGCACCTATACGAAGAGGGTCCTACTACTACTATAAAAGAACCTTGGAAGGGAAGGAATATGTTCAGCATTGTCGTCGCCCTGTCTGTGATAATGGGGTTCCACCTTCTGTTTATGATATTATGCCCACCGGCCCTGATGCTCCTCCGGAGCATGTAATCCTGGACGAGAATATTAAGGCTCAAGAGCATGCTTATTATAGCATTGGTGCTTTTAAAGTAAGAGCAGTTCCTCTTTTGTTCTTCTTGTCAAGAGTTTTCTCTTCCTAGTACCTTATTCTACTTTGAGTGCCTTTTGTTTTCTGCTATCTCTATCTCACTCGCATTTCTTGCCTCTAGGTTAGTCCAAATAACAAGTTAATAGCATATGCAGAAGACACTAAAGGAGATGAGATCTATACTGTTTATGTCATTGATGCTGAAACTCAAGCACCAGTTGGAAAGCCCCTAGTTGGTGTAACATCATATCTTGAATGGGCAGGGGACGAGGTTTTGGTTTACATCTCAATGGATGAAGTTTTTCGTCCAGACAAGGTATAATAGATTTTCAGGTTGAACTCATATGCTTGATAATGATTTTCTTTCTGATTCTTCACAGCTGATTTTCTCTGTCTTGCTTACCATTTTGAGAAAATAACCAATATTATTTTTTGGGACAAAAGCCATGGAGCCGTATCGATTTTTTACTAGGACAACAAAGGTTTTTTTGTTGGCATAATTTCAGAAAGTCCTAACTTATTGTAATTCATCTTTTGCTAATTAGCTTTTAATGACAAAAATGGCGTTATGAAAATTTCATGGAATGCAAAAATGAATAGAAAAATCTTCCTCTATAACTCCCTAATAGGATTTGGTTTCCGAAAATACTTTGTGAGAAAATAAGAAGGACTATTAGAGTTATAGTTTATTTCATTAATATGAATTTAACTAAAAATGGTTGATTTAGTTATTTTGTAAAATATCCTATAATACTATATTCATCTAGTGTTTGTTAATTTATTTATTTTTTGATTTTTATTTAAAATTTTAAAGTAACATTAATTAAAAAATAATGAACGGAAGTTTAATTGATGCTTCAAGGAGAAAGGGTAAAACTGGAATAAGGATAGGATTTGTGGAGCTTTGACCTAATGTGGAAGAAATTACCAAGATAGATTTAATTGTCCTAATAAATTTTTAATAGGACCCCATGGTTTTTTGTTATGAAAATTAAGATTTCTTGGTTATTCTTTGTTACAATTTGCATTAATTATTCTGGGATGTGAAGTTGACTTCTACACTTATAATTGTTTATCTAACAAGGCCTCACTCAGTATGTATCTTTGCTGGTATTGCGAATAGTTGACTATCTCATGATGAGTAACAACTTGCAAAACTCCCACTCCCCCTTCTCACTTTCTTGACTAGAAGGGGGTAAATATTTTAATTTGTTTCATTTAGGTTTTGGAGTGCGTAAGTGATGAGTACTTGTTTGATGACATACTCTTCATTTCAGCATGGTTCTTGTCATAATTGGAGTTATTTAGATCTTTAGATATAATGTTGCCTTTGTTAAGAAAACTTTTATCCCACATTGAATAATTAGAATCAAAACTTTTATCCCACATCAAATAATTATAATTACTAAGGTTGGTTTATATACTTGAGGGGCACTCCACCCATTGCTAATTGATTTTGGGTTAGATGTTCTAACAACCTTATCTTCCATAATATTTGCAAATTGCAAAAATAACAGTTCTCCTAACTAAAATCATCATGCAGTTAACAAGCTTGGATAGTCAATGCTCACATCAGTTGGTTGACTAGCTTTAAAAAATTAATTCTCACTATCAATTTTCTATTTCGACTTTAATTATCGAAGGGGTGTTATAATAGTCGCTTTGTCTGCATTCACATTTCATCTTGAGAACATTTACCTTAAAAACAGATGTTTAACGATTCTGTTTTCCATCGTCTTGAGCATAGTAGTATTTTGTTTCCTTTGTACTTGTGAAACTATAATGGTATTTTTTTTTACATATTTGTGGCATGAATGTTAAACAATATTGGTAAGAGCAACAAAAAAGTTGTTGTTCTTTATCACTTTGAATCTTTTACATAAGGTTGGTTCATTGATAAATAATCACTTAGAATACACAACTTATGGTAATGTTTTTAGGGAACCAATAAAACTGTAAATGATCGTTTTGTAGATTTTGAGTTTTTGAGAAGCTTTAAAATATTAGAATTTTGATTTCATTACTGGTTTGCTTCGGTCTTCTTGAAAACAGAAATGTTTCAGATGTTTTGATCGTTTTGAAACGAAATTTTGGGTGGTAGGTGGCAATGATGGTGGCGGCGACAACGACAGGTGGTGTGTGGTAGTGGTGTCGATGACCGGTGGGGGTGGTGGTGGCAATGATGGGTGGTAGGTGGGGATCATGTGGCAATGATGGGTGGTAGGTGGCGATGGTGTGGTAATGATGGGTAGTATAATTGGCAATAGTGGGTTGTGGGTGGTTTTAGTGGTGATGACGAGTGATGGTGGTGATGATCAGTTGTGGGTGGTGATTGTGGTGATGTTGGAGGCAATGGGGGTGGTGGCAGCAGCAGTGATTGATGGGTGGTGGCGTATAGTGATGCCAAGGTCGGTGACAACGAATGGTAGTTGGTGGTATTGGTGTGATGATGGTAGTGGTGATGGTGACATATGGTGTGTGGTGGCGGGGATGGTTGTGGGAGATGGTGTAGGGGGTGGTGGTGGTGGTGACGACGAGTGGTGGTTGGTGGTGGCCGTGACAACATCGGTTGGTGGTGGAATCAATCAAAGCATGGAGACTTGTTTGAATAAAGCTGAAATATAACTATGCATAAATCAAATCTCTGCATGGAATTTCAATACATGATGAATTTAAGTACAATAAAGCAAGCTAGAGAATAGATATACAATTAATCCACAAGAACACCCCATGTCTGAGTTGTTTGGCCTGCACCGCTTACATCCACTATCCCTACTCACCTTGGGGGTTCTCCATTATTGTGGGATTATCTAAGTCCAAGGATCAAAATATCGTCTCGAAACGGTTGAAACACCCGAAATGTTTCTATTTTTATGGAGAGCGAAACGAATCAGTTGTGGAATTGAAATTTTAATACTCTGAGGTGTTCCATAATGTTCCGAAGTACCATAATGTTCTGAATCAATGATTAAATTTTTATTTTTTTCATTTTGTTTTTGAAACGTGATTTTTTCATTCAATTCCGAAATTGATCAAACGTTATGTATTATCGAAATTCTAATATTTCAAGGTGTTCCATTATGTTTTGGAAACATCTTGATTTTTCATCTCCGCTTTTGTTCTCTCCTTGATTTTTGAATTATATTGTTACTATCATTCATATGCCCTTAATCTCTCATACCCCCCCCCCCCCCGGGGGGGGGGGGGGTGTAAGTCTCTCTTATATATGGGTAATGCATTTTCATAAAGAAGATGAAAAATATAATTGATCAGTCACATGCATTCCTTGTCGGAGAATGTATTTATTTCTTCTTGTGTTTGTTGCTTTGGTTGGCTTGTGGTAATGCAACAAAGAAATTATTAATTTATCTACATTATCTTCAAAAGAAAAGTATGTACCTTGCTAAAATCTTTTGGTTGGCTTTTTATGTGAATAATTGTTGTTACATTGTGCAGGTATGGTTACATAAACTTGTCATAGACCAATCAAATGATTTATGCCTTTACCATGAGAAGGATAACATGTTTTCTCTGAATCTTAAGGCTTCTGAGAGCAAGCATTTTTTGTTTATTAGTTCGAAAAGTAAAATTACAAGGTTTGTCTTCTATCTGGACACATCAAAGCCGGAAAATGGGCTTGTGCTTTTGGTACCTTGTGTAGAGGGCATTGACATCTCAGTTAGCCATCGCGGAAACCATTTTTTCATCAAGAGACGGAGTGAGGAAATTTTCAATTCAGAACTACTAGCCAGTCCAGTTGACAATATATCTGCAACCACAGTTCTTCTTCCTCACCGGCAAGGTAATGCTAAATTTTGACTGTCTTAATGCTATAACCAGCATTTTTCTAATACTTGTTAAGTTCTATAGACATAATGGTTTTTCCCTTATTTCAACATTAGGGGTTTTCGTTGACTAAGGGCGAAGCCAGAAAAAAATTTTAGGGTGGTGGGCGCACTTGTATGTTTTAATTTTTTTTTAATAGATCGTAAAAGTTCATAAATTTATATTTATTAAAACTATATTTAATAATTTTTAAACATAAAAAATTAAAAATCGATATACATAACATGAACAAAAAAATAATAATTAAAACTTCTTATCAAGAATGCAACTAATTATTATTACTTATGATTGATCCTGATAAATTTTTATTATTTAAAAGAGTTACAAATTAATTTTATCAATAATATTTTCTTTATATATAAAATTGCAGTAATAATCTTCTATTTAAGATCCTGTAATTTACTACATAATGACATACATTTTTATACAATAACGAAATAACCTTACATTTTACAAAAATTACAAAATAATATCAATATATTCAAAACATATTCGGACATGTCTACATGTCTAAAAGTTAGCAATTGTATTAGTTGTATCTAATTTGAGATTTAATTGATGAAGACCCAATGGTTTGTGACCATTAGATAGATAATAGAGTTTATTAAATATTAAGACTCACTATTATACTTAATATCACAATGTATTAGGTTCTTAAATTAAGTTTCAATAACATTGTTCAAAAAGTTAACAATCGTTTAGGTAGGGATCTATTCAAATCAATATCACCAGAACACAATATTAGGGTGAGCACAATTAAATATGTCTAAATTTTATTTCAAAAAATATATGCTTAATATAAAGAAAAAAAAAATTGAGGTGGGGCCAAAAGATTTATTTTTTTAATAGGTTTGGGTAGATTGTGATTGGTCAAACATTTGATTTTTTAAAATAAGTTTGGGTAGATAGTAGTGGACTCAAATTTTTTTGTTTTAAATAGGCTTAATTTTTTAATTCTTTTGAGTAAATAATGTGGGCCTAACATTTTTATCTTCAGTTTTGGGTGGGCACAAATAATGTATTACACAAATATATAATATATATACCTAAATAATAAAAAAAAAAAATTTGAAGGGGGCACTTGCCCATGCCTCCCTCCGCTCTTGTCGTTGACTATAATGTGCATTGCCAGTCTAGAAATAGAAGTAGCACTTATAGTGCTGAAAAAGAACACAATAAGAAGCCTTGAAGCTCAAAAGTAACTTATATTAATGGATTTTTACGTATGACATGAGAACTGCCACTAACTTAGGGAACTTGTCATTGCAAACGTTGGTCCAACTAGTGCCTGACACAGCAATTAAGATATAAGCCTCTTTGTTTTCTAGACTTCGGTTAAGATACTAAGAGCTAATTCAATTGCCTAAATTGCTTTGAACTTCTGTAATCCCTTTGCTTGCTTCTTTAGCTTCCTATTTCAGTTCATTTAACAATTTTGTTCTCTAAATAATTGACGAACCTGTTAGTGTTTCCCAGAGTTCCATGGTGAATACTGAGTAGTCATAGTACAAAGTAGTTATATTTTTTTTAATGCCCTGGCAAACCTCCTTTAGCTTCCTATGCTGATTCATTTAACGATTCTGAAATTTGTGGCAAAATTAATTCTCTCTTTTGTCTCTATTTATTGGAAAGAAACTGCTGTAATATTCTAAAGGTAATTATGCAATCTTTCCTTGACGGTTTGGTCTTGCAACCTCCATCTTCCCATTCTGGTACTGTACCGATTGCAAAGTTAAAACGCCTGTAACCTGATATTATCATAGCAGGTGAAAATATAGATATGAAGCACATGAAATAAAGAATGATTTGGAGTTCTCTATTATGTTGCTTGCACTGGTCTATTTTGAGAGTCATGCTTCTTTCAGTCAATCCCATTACTATGTGTTGATTTTCATTTTGTGCAAGTGAAAGACAATGAAAGCATATCTATAATAACATGACTTTATTATTTATTCTTTAAAAATTAAAGATTATTTTCATGCACTTAATCTGCCAGTGAGCCAGCAAAAAGTGATCTTATGTACTATACTCAAGTCTCATGGCAGACCCACTATGTACCAACCACTGGTTGTCTACTCGTGTTTATATTGGAAAATTGTTATACATTTGGGCACTTCACTGTAGAAAATTGCCATACTGTGAAAGGGAATTTTACTCTCTGAACTCGACAAAGATAGGGCCTACATTGTAATGCTAATTTGATGGTAACTTTGGCAGCTCCTACGTAAATAAGGGTAATGTGAAAGTCTCATTTTAATTCATTTGCCAAAGTCCCTACTGAATCTTTTTTCAGTACTTGGTTACAGCCCTGTAATGTATGCTCTTAAATCATATCTGCTGAAATGCATCCATTATCTATGTTCAAATTAGCTACGAAGTTCAGCAATCCTATTCTTTACTTTTTGATGCTACCAACTTTAGTAACCCCACAGATCAAAGGATTGGCTATGATGCGGTGAGTCTGACAATCCAGCATTAGGTTATTGAGGAAAAAAAGGAACGTCTATTTGCATTTTCAAATTTGCTTATTTATTGTGGAGATCATGCAATAATTCCCCAGCTACAACTCTGCCAACTTTTTGGAGTGAGTTATGGGCATCTTACTGATACGTCCTTGCTTTGGTTTTTGATCAGGGTAAAGATCCAGGGCATACAGCTCTTTAGTGATCATGTTGTTGTATATGAGCGTGAAAATGGTCTGCTCAGAGTTGTTATATACCGCCTTCCAGCAGTAGGAGAACCAATTGAAAGCCTTCAAGATGGTCAGGCTGTCGATTTTGTTGATCCAATATATTCGGTGGATCCGTCAGAATCACAATTTTCTTCCAGCATTCTACGGTTTTCTTATAGCTCATTGAAGACGCCCCGCTCTGTATATGATTATGATATGAACATTGGGACTTCAGTTCTGAAGAAGATTGAAATGGTAAGAGGTTACTACCATGAGTAGCACTTCAATTTGGATGTTATTTTATGCCTTTAACTCGTATAGAATTTGGCTTCATTAGTGGCATCCTTTCTGCTAAGATTATGTATTATATATCAATAGGGTAGTTTTTAGTCTTCTCTGATTGTAGGGTTTTATATTATTTTATTGCAGTTTTATATTTTTTTATTGTTGGGGTTTATATTCTCTCGTACTAAATTTTAATGTTTGTGGAATATGAGCTAGCTGCAGCCTGCAGATAGGTTTCTTCTCTCTTCCTCTTCTACTTCTTTGCATAGTTTGATCAGTTTTCATGGTCAGATCACAGTTTTGATTTACATTCCCTTTGATGTTCAGATATCACAAATGTCCCCAACGTCATCATCTGCTGCTTTGAATTTGAAGGGACTGTGAGACAGTTGGTGCTTTAGAACTTTGTGATTAAATTAGATCTTTGTTTGAAGAATTCATTGTCAGTGATGGTCATTGCTGGTCACAATTGTTGAGTATTTTTTCTTGATTTTGCTCACTGTTGTCAGAGATTGGAAAGTTAGGGTTGAAGATCATATCTATAGTCATCCATCATCACAGTTGGTGTTGATTGTTATTGTTGTCGTTGTTGTTGACTTTGCACTGCTTTGCCATTTCTTGTCGTCTGAACTGTTGCCGGCAATAACTAAAGCTTTCGACACTAGTTTTTGACAGACAGCTAACTTTAATTGTTTCATTGTGCCACCTAGTTTTAAGGACTAGTTTTGGACAAAGGTGGTGAAAAGACCGTACTCTTGAGCTAGACCAATCAAATTATTTTGCCATGTTCCATTCTACTCTTGCATTTGCTGATGATTTATGATTCCAACCCCAAAACCATAGTCTTAGCACACTTTTGCATGTGTTAATTATGGATGTAGAACTATTGTTATTTAGGTTATAGGTTGCAATATCTTAGCATTCTGTTGAATAATGATGTTTAAACACATCTTTACTACTTTCCAACCATAGTTCTTTGGAATTTGGAATTAACAAGTCTGATAGGAATTTTAGCAAAATTTACCACTGAGAAAGAAACAAGACTTCGTTTCTTCTTATAATTATGGGACATTCAGTTGAAGCTTTTTTTTTTTTCCTTCTCCTTATATCTTTGAACCCTTGTTGGATAATTTGTTCCAGTAACGCTGCTCACTCCCCCTATAGCTCCTTTCCTGCGTTTAACATGTTTGAATATAGTTGAAGAACATCATATTACAGGAGCGATATGAGATGGGAAAGGGAAAGAAAATAAGAACACCAAGATATACGTGGATTGACACATTGTGCCTACATCCACAGACCAAAAGCTCCAGTATCTGATGTATTATTTAATGTGATTGAATACAAGGAATTCATCTCTATTCATAAGGTGAGAAAGATGTTGTTTTGGGAGGGGGAATTCGATGTGGATCTTTCCTCACGATTATACACGTGGAGACCAAGACACTTAACCTAGAGGGAGAAGAGTGCATAGGTTTTTTTATTTTAGCTCAAGCCAATTACAAATTAAAACTATATTTACCACAATTACCTCTTCTCACAAATATATAACAATGAATGTGAGAACCCCTTTCAAACACCACTAACCCTTTGAATCATAACGATTGATTTTAATGAATTTACAATTAATTCATTCAAGTAAATTTCACGGTGATCCCAATAAACCCATAAACCCAATTGCACAACTATGGATAATATGAAATTTAACAATCAAAATATGAAACAAATAGTGCGCGTGTGTGCTCACAGTTGCAAGTGTGTACAATAAAAGACAAGCAATTTGGTGACATGGAAAATCTTCCTCGGAAAAAACCGTTGGGAACCTATCGGGGTTAACCAAAGTCTAATTTACTACACACCAGGTCAATATATAAGTACACGAGTCTTATACCTTAACTAATATCCATGGCTAGTTATTCCTTTCCTTTTTATGTCTCTATGCCGAAACTTCCTATTCAACGTCTGGTGCAGCTTCACTTGACCTCCCTGCCATAGGTTCGTCTAGGCCTCGAATAATTATGGGCACACCAACAATCATCGGTATGCATATGTCAATGGGTTTGTTCACCAACAAGCTCTCCTACTCCATGTTATGAGGATGAAAAAATCACTAGTGGTAGCCTTTGGATTCTTAGGAATCTAGGTTGTGGTAGGAGCTCTCAAGGTTGAAAAATAGATTTCTTTTTTAAGAATCTCTCTAAAGGCTCTCTTAAGGCTTGATCTAGATGTAGGAAAGAAATTTCCTATTTATAGATTCAGAATAAGGGTAGTCTTTGTAAATAAGAAATCTCCAATTCGCGACAATCACTCAATCAGTTGGAGGACGGTTATAACCGGAATGAAAAATGTGTTTCAAACACGATTAAGGCAGACACCGCTTGAGCAACTATGAAGACTGCTCAATCAAACTCATAGAGCGAGCCCAGTTTTACCTTCTGTGGTATTTTTTTCTTTTTCTACTAAGCCATCAATAGACCGCTCTAGCGAGAATTAGTAAGCATAGGGCGGTCCTTACAAGTTTTTAAGCCTAAAACCATACAAAAACTTATCCTCTTGAGCAATAAAAAGTGTTGCTCAAAAAGGGGTCTGATTGTGATTCAAACTATATTTTCAAAACACAAAATTAGTTTAGAAAAAATTTTCTATGAAAATTCCTGGGAGTGATAATCAGATCGCTTCTAATTCTATTTTTCATCCTAATCATTCTAAGTTAAAAATAACTAATAGGTTACCTTAAGTGTTTAGGTCATTACCTTTGTTCTAATCATGTTGGTGCATGTGGAGGTTAACTGATATAACTTTGACGCTTGATCTCCTCCTTTCAATGTAGCTTTCGGATCTTAAACTAGATAGCATAATGGCCATGAAAGTGGTTGAGATTTTACAATGAACTCCACGAAATTAGCAATTAAAAAAATGATCTAAGAAAAGATATAAAATCAAGATTAAATATCACCCATACTTATCATCATCTAAATATCTAGACTACGTAGATTCTGATTGATCTCTTGGGATCTTATCATATCTCTGACCTACCTCTTAAGTTGTTGCACTAAAAAGATGAGGTAAAGTGTCCAACTTGAACAAAAAAATTGAGTGGTTGTCAGAATTATTCTAATGCTCTTTGATTCTGTTAGAAGCTGCTCCCGCTCCCTTAGATTGGAGCAAGAATTGTCAGGCCTATAGTAGTGTAGATCTTGAGATTGTGAACAAAAATATGGCTTTGACGAAATTATTGATAATGTAGCTCTGGTGATAAAACTCCCCCTAAATATTAGTCTGCACTATTAGGGAATAACCACATTGTAGAAAAATCGTTTTGTTTTCCTCTTTTTTGCCTCTATTATTTGTTTGCTTTTTTGTTGTCTTTTTTTCTTTGGTTCCTCTTCATTCATTCTATTTCGACCCCTCCCCACCCTTTTTTAACCTAGCACCTCGACTTTCCAACAAACTAACAGGAGATTTCTTACAATATTTCATTACAAGAAGAGCTTCCTTCCACCGATCCATATTCAAATGGTATGGGCAAGTAGTGTGAGCACACTTGGCATGGTACATCAGACTTTCGGTGTTCACATGCCACAACAAAGTGGCGTAGTTAAGTGAAAGAGTCCTCATTATTAGATTTGACCCCTAGCACTTTTATTTCATATGCATGTTCATAATCGTTTTTGAAGGATGTTGGTTTGATATCTATTAGTTGTCTACCTTTTATTGTCTTACAAGGGACATCTCTCTGTTTTGTTTTGGTTCTTGGCTCTCCATGTTTTCCTATTCCACCTATAAGTCTTTGGATGCGTATGTTATGTCCACAATCTTGGTCCTCAGTTTTGATAAACTTGATTCTCGTGCTTCTAGGTCTACATTTCTCGGTTATTACCGTGCTGTAGAGTTTACAACAATTTTGAACTCTACTTACTATTCAAAATATTGGCCGAATTTGATACGACTCAGCTGAGTTGTATCCAATTTGACAATTCCCATTTCAATAACGACACGTGCTTCACATAAATCTTATGTTTCACTAGACTTGATCATAATTCGACTTGAGTGGGTATAAATCGCCCGAAATAGTTGAGTTATCACCAAAACGCGAGATTGGTTCAGGAATCAGATAGAACCAAGACAAATATGAAAAAAGAGGGAATAACAAGAGGGAGAAGGGAAGACCTCACAACCACCGTGAAAGTCACAAAGCAGATTCACCAATTTCGTATCGGTTCAATCAACCCTTAGAACAATTGGTTTATGAAGACTTGCTTGGTGAGAGTCCTTGTTGTACTAGTCTATTCCGTTTTTGGTACAAGTGGTATTTAATTATTGCAAGCCTCCTTAGGGGTTTTGAAAAGTTGCTCTTTACATTTTGAAACTAACTATTGACCTCTTAAAATGTATTTATTGTATTTTATTATGACATTAATGAATCTCTAAGTTGTCTTTTTATATAAGTTGAAATGGTAAAAAACTAAAAATAATATTAGGGTTACAAGGGAAGGAGAGAAAATGAGAGAATAATTTGTTGTATATGCTATGTTGCCCCTCACCGTCTTATTTGTAATAAACTGATATTATGATTAATTACAATATTACCATGCACTACGAAAAAACATAAAATAAGAACTCTAACAACATATAATTAGATATACATATTAGCAGATTTACAAGTAACTTATTTATATTAGAAATACATTGATCTACATACCACTTTTTTTATTTTTAAATTTTGAATTTTTAGATTTATAAACATATTTAAATGCAATATAGTTGGATATAGTGTAATTCGTAATTTTACAATTTATTGACATTTTTGGTAGGGCATTGCATTTTATTTTCAGTATTTTAACTATGATAGATGATGTTCTTTGCATATATTATGTATGGATCGGGTAATTCATATATTTTAGAATTTTATAACTTTTGTTTTAGAAATTTGCTTGTCTTTTATTTAACTTTGTGTGTATTGCTCGCCTGACACCATTCGGTGACTCGTGACTCATGTGTCTCGGCGTTTTCTAAGTGGACGACTAATACTACGGTATTGAACTATGACCCTACTTTCCGTCGATACTTTATTAGTGCTAATGTTACCTTTGGGGAGTCCATATCCTATTTTTCCAATGCCTTCCTTTCCTCATGATTGAACTCTTTAGCAGTCTTACTTGCCTGTTCTAATTTTGGCTTTGGTCCCCTTACCCCGCTCCTCCGTCGTCACCATTCTTGGTTTCGCGCTGTCCAAATCCTCCCCCCATGCCTTCTCCTCCCTTATATGTTTACATTATCTTCTTGATCAATGCTTCCTACTACTACTCCACTATTGGCTTCCTCGCCATCTTCGGCTCTAGACTCCTCAGTTATATTGGATTCTTTACCTATTGCTTTGTAAAAAAGGTACTGTTTATTGTGTTTTTTTAACTGCTTAGAGGAAAGTTATGGACGAAGAGATGGATACACTCCAAAACAGTAATAGTTGGGATTTGATTACTTTGCCACCTGGTAAGTAGGTTGTTGGGTGCTGTTGGGTATATACAATGAAATTCTTTGTGGGTCATTTAAAAACTCGTTTGCTTGCAAGAGGATATAATTAATTTTTTTGTTTTGAGACATTTCAAGCTATAGTATTAGATTTTGGTTTTCATCCGTGTTAGACAAATCATTCAGTATTTCACCTACGTGCTGGTGCAAGTAATATCCTCGTTGTAGTTTGCTTTGATTTTATGATTACAGGTGAGGACTCTTGTGGGTATTGCTGAGTGGAACAGTTTTTGTAGCATCTGTTTCATGCCAAAAATCTATTCAAACTAAGATTTTTTTTCTTGGCATCGAAGTTGTTAGAATCAAACAGGTTATTAGTTTTTCCGGAAGAAAATATATGCTTGATCTTTTTTGGAGGAATGATGACTTCTAAGTGATCGACCAGCTGATACTCCTATGAATTCAAATCATAAACTCAGTTACTAAAGTCAAACATTTCTCAAATCCTGGATAGTATCGTTATCCATACGGGAAGTTGAATTGCCTCAGTATTACATGATCGAATATTTTATATGCAATGAGTGTAGTAAGTCAATTATAGAAGCTCCCTGAGTATCACATTGGGATGCTATTAGTCGTATCTAATATCTTAAGCGAGCTTCAAGACTCGGATTATTGTATCGACCGCATGGGCACCTTTGTGTGATTGGGTAGGTTCTACATCATATTGCCAATTTACAGTAGGATATTGCATTTCGTAATATGGTTATGTGTAAGAGTAAGAAGTAGATAGTAGTGGCACAGTTTAGTGCAGAAGCTGAATAGTGGGAAATGACTAACGCATGTAGTGAGTAAACATTTACAACACTTTTTCAGCAAATTGGTTTTCAACCTTAAACTCCACTGTTATTGTTTTACAACAATCAAGTCGTTAACTATATTGCTTCTAGTGCTATGGTTCATGAACGAATGAGATATATTAAAGTTGATTGCCACTTGTTTGAGAAAGTATTGTGTGGAGACATTATTACACTATTTGTGAAATCTAAGGGCCAAATTGTTGATATGTTGGTGAGTCATTGAATATTACTCGGCTAAATGTAGGTTTACAATGTCCCTCTGATGAATCCACAAAAGCTTCAATATAGGTTTACAAGGTTCAAAGACTTAAACCTCAACCAATGCCTCGGGTTAGATGCTTTTCCATCTCGAAATTTCACTTTGGAATCCACCGCAAGATCTTGAACACTTTTTAATTGATCCGCTACGAATCGAGCCCACAATCTGCCTTATGCTTGTACTTGGAATCCTCCTCCTTGAACTCTTGATTGGAATCTACCAACACAATTTTTCTGAAGGTTTTGTACACCTCTACTAAATAACTCTCTAGATCATGAAGAATCTCTAGATTGAACTAAGTAGATTGTGCCTTGTGTTTGGGTGGGCTAGGATTTATTCTCTCTATTACTTTCTGTCCAAAAATCCTTGATTTTCTATCTCTCATGGTTGAACAAAGTATCCCAATTTATATAGGAACGAAATTAGAGTTTAAATAGGTAACTACAATCTGCAGGATCTCGACAAACCTATCAAGCCTTGAGAAAGGGTTGACAGAGTGCTGGTATGTGGAATCGAATCTGTTAAGAGGCCTACCAACACGAACGACTGAGCGTTACTCGAGTATTGCGTGAGCATTGATTTTGGGTTGAAAGTCCCACTCCCTCCAATTCCAAGGACCGCTTGAGCGATAGCAGAGCGCTAAGAAGGCGGTACTACTGGTTAGTCTGAGCAAAACTAGTTTTTAGTTTTACTGTTCGAGTATCAAGGAGTGTTACTCAGTAAGGCTCCATAATCCATATTATGATTTTTATAGTGTTTCAAAACCTTTTTCTAAAGTCTTAAAAATATTTTTTAGCAAACGCTATGAGAATCATGCTACATATTTAAGTAAAGTATACAACATCACATTTTAGACCCAAGTGTTATGGTTCACTTTGTACCTAAAATCTCTTATATTGTTTAAGCTTGATGGATTCTAGGAAAATCTCTAAAAGTTGCAATGAAGCTTGAATCTATTCTTCCTATGTTTCTTCCGTCTTCAACTTTGTAAGCATCATAATCTCTGAATTTAGTGGACACACGTTATCTTATGACCCATGGAATTTCACCAGCACATGTATATTCACCAGCTTGAGGGGGGGAGTGTTGGAATATAGTATTAGTGGCACAATTGGAATAAGTATATCCCCTGAGGGTATATTCATTTTTTTACTATTATTTGCATAAAATATATATGGGTTGTGAGAGACGGTAGACTCTTAACATTTTCTCCTTCCTCTCCCCTCTCGGAAAATCTCCTCTATCTCTCATTCACTGTAATAACATGGTAATCTTCTTCCCATTTTTGTGGGAAATATGTGGTCGAGGAAAGCGTAACTTGTGTATGCAATCTTGTAGCTTCAGGGAAATATTCTCAACTATACTTATGGAAGCTTCGTTTGACCAATTTTATATAAAAGAATCTACATGAGAATGTCACTCTGTTCTTAGTTTTACATTCTGGAAAGAGTTAGGCCTTTTGTGTCCGATTGGCAACAAAATTATTTCTTTTTCATCTATGCTTTATTTATATTTTTAAAGCCAGATTGGTAAAATCTGAATATTACTTGTAACTTTCTGTTTTTTCTTTGACTCAGGTATTGGGAGGGTTTGATACCTTAAATTATGTAACAGAGAGACAGTGGGCTACTGCTCCGGATGGCACTCAAATACCTATATCAATTGTCTATCGAAAGAATCTTGTGAAGCTTGATGGGTCTGATCCATTTCTGCTTTATGGTTATGGTTCATATGAGGTAATACATGATTTTATTTGTCAATGACTCTCACTTGAGCAGAAGAAACTTCTTTTCTGGTTGCTGGAAGAGAACATATTTCCAGTAATGGGAAATGATTATGGTCTTGCGCACACACACACACACACACACACACACACACACACACACACATGCACGTTTTTATTAAAATTCAATATTTTTCCTCTAGAAGGTTGTGGTCACTGGTCATACAACTTTGTGGCTATTGAGGTGGAGTGTTGCTCCATCTTAGTGCCTCATATGTTGACAGCTCCAGTTGAAATCTAGAATGTTCATTAATGTAAGTATTTTTCCCAGTTTGTGGCTTTTCATATCATTATCATCTTTACGGAAATGTAGTGTGTATAGTAACAGTATATTTTCTACTATTCTTTTTCCTATTTTGGCAAATCTTATTTAAACACTTGAGCAATCTATACAGGGGCTGGCCTCCTCTTTGATCATCCACCATAATTGATTTCTGCTGAAGTTATTGCATTTAATCATTTTCTTTTGATAATTGTATCATCCATAAAAATAGATTTTACTTTCTTTTGACTGCATGAACCAACTGCTGAGGCACTGTCTCAGAATGCATGGTTTTCTCCAAAAATCTAGCATGCTACTTGTCTCATTTGTACCTCCATGTTCATGTTTAAACTTTTTCTTGGTGAACGCTGAAAACCTCGTGTTTCCAACAGGCATGCAAAGAGCCCAGTTTCAAGGCATCAAATTTATCTTTGTTAGATCGGGGTTTCATTTATGCAATTGCCCACATTCGTGGGGGTGGTGAAATGGGGAGGCAGTGGTATGAAGATGGGAAACTGTTTAAGAAGAAAAATACTTTCACAGACTTTATTGCTTGTGCTGAGTATTTGATAGAGAAGAAGTACTGCTCAAAGGAAAAACTGTGCATCAATGGAAGAAGTGCAGGGGGTTTGCTTATTGGAGCTGTTCTTAACATGCGGCCTGATTTGTTTAAGGCTGCTGTAGCTGGAGTACCTTTTGTTGATGCTTTGACTACAATGCTTGATCCAACCATTCCTCTTACAACTTCAGAGTGGGAGGTCATCTCTTTCACTTTCTGGAAATTACGACTCCTAAACCTTATTTCATGTCAAACAAATAGAACTTAGATGACAGAATATTGGCTGGAAATTTGGTCCTTTACCTGAAAGATTTGTCTAGGAGATTAACACGAAATCTTGATTGATTTAATGGCAGAACTATCAATCTATTTGTGGTCATATTGTCATAATTCACAGCATATGAAGAAACATCTGACAATAGATGATGTAAACCTGATGTCATCACCTTTTTGCCTAAGATTTCACATTGTCAGGCAGCGCCAGATCTTGGATGCTTAATTGCTCATTTCTCACTATAGTGACCCTCGATTCCATTGCTTAAGAATGACTTCCTCTAGCTATGATCCATGTATTAAATTGGATGTTAAGACTCATTACATAGATATGCTAGTAAATTTCTCGACAAATTGGGCTTGAATAGATTGATTACCTTGTAGATGTGCCATTTTGATTGGATTTTGGATTTGTATATGAATATAACTTCGTCTTCTGTAGTTGGACTCAACATGTTGGAAAAGCAGCTTTTCTGATTGGACGGATTGACATGGCTACATTTGTTTTTCACTGTCCTGTATTAATAGAATACATATCATGAATTGAATTTCTACTGTGGAAGAATTTGATAATATGAATAGCTATTTCATTTATTATATTGGTTTCTAAATGAAAAGGTATAATTCTTCAAACATGTCACATCCAAGGACCTTATGAGTCAGGTGTGGTTGGGGGGCCTCCAGCTTTTCAATCAGACCTGGTTTGGTCGTCAAGTTAACCAAAGGTACCAAGTAGCTCAAGTCTTAGCCTTAATGCCACATATCTATTTATTTTTACATTACTGGACTTGATTGAATCAAATTTGATGCCCTACCAACTGGTCCATTGAAGTTTGTGGTGTCTGCCTGAACAATCTCAATTATGTTCCTTAACCAAAATCTTCTCCTGCATTCAGAGCTTAATAGAAGTCTGATTCTCTGTCTTCTGAAATAAGAAGTTGATTTTTTGATGACCTGCAATTAAGACAGTTCATTCCAGCTGATTTGTTTCTGCTGTTGCAGGAATGGGGTGATCCTCGTAAAAAGGAGTTTTACTTCTATATGAAGTCATATTCCCCAGTTGATAATGTGAGTACTAAAGGACTCTATTTCCATTTTATTTATAAGTTATTCATTGTTTGGCAAAGGAAACAGCGACCGATTTTTGGATTTATGGGCTGATGTACAACTTTATTTTATCCAGATTAAGGCGCAAAACTATCCGACCATTCTTATTACAGCTGGTTTGAATGGTAAGTGAAAAGGTGAAAACTAACACAGCTATCTGAATATAGGAGCTTAACTGGTTAGGCTAAATCACTCCTTCACCCTGAAGCTGCTTAAGTATATGTCCAGTGGATTCCAGATCGAACATCTTGCTAAAAATAAAGTCTGATCTGAAGATTCTGAACATGTCATTTTGTCAGAAACTATTAATTGAAACTCTGTTGCTAAATCATTACCATTGATGCTGAAATTGGAGGAGTTTAAGGCTTCTATGCAACTTTCCAAGTGTAAAGCATCATACCACTTCTGGGTGAATCAAGTAGGAGTTCGTCTAAAATGTAGTTAGTCAAATGTGTCAATTAAAACATCATATGAGGGGTAATGATCCAAAATGACATTTCAATAGGAGCGCTAGTATCAGTCTTGGAAGTTACATAGTTTACTGTGGCTTTCACATTTCTTGCCAAATTCTATTGTTTTTTTTCCTTTTCTATCTGCAATAGAAAATGGGCTTTTTGTTCCAGTTTAGGAAAGATGGAAAATGGATTTTTTGTTCTCATATATGATGCTAGAATTCATTGACGTACTGCTGAATCTGAACTCTGGTGTATTGTGACAGATCCACGGGTTATGTACTCAGAGCCAGCTAAGTTTGTGGCGAAGTTGAGAGATACAAAAACTGACAATAATTTACTGTTGTTCAAATGTGAACTTGGGGCAGGACACTTTTCAAAGTCAGGAAGGTAATGATCATATTTATCTTTTGATTTAGGTTAACTTAAAACTTAATGCATGATTTCCTCCACTGGCTGATTAAATTGTTCCATTAGTTAGCTGATTACAGAATTAGGAGGTATTGGCTGACCTATATTCGTAGAGATAGATATTATCCAGGCAAGACAGACACCTAGCTTTGAATAATAGGATATTGCTGAAAATAAAGGCACAACAAAATGGTTCTTCTTAGAGAAGATCATTGGGAAACTATTTGTCAAATCAATTTCAAAAAGTGAAGGTTAGATATGTTTGTTGTCAAGTTGAGTGGCTTGAACTTCTTTGCCTACCCTTGTAGTAATCGCAATTCCATTCCAATAAGTAAGCTCACTTAACTTAACTCAACTCAAATCAACAAAGTCTTATCTCAACTATTTGGGGTCGGCTAGGATCATGTTCCGCCATTATGCACTATCAATGTCATTTTTTTTTGTTAAAACTTCATGTTGTCATATCATTTTTTACTCTATCATTTAACATAGATTTCAATATACCTACACTCACCCCATTAGATTCAGAGGTCACATCATTGTTAATCACTGGTGCAGTAATCTCTCTTATAAATACATCCACGCCGGCTAAGTTGATTCTCTCTCTCTTCATTTAACTTCTATTGGTGCTACTTTAATAATTTCACCATATACTCATTTCTAATTGTATACTTTCTGGTTTTGCTACATTCATCATAGCATTTATACTTGACTTCTCTTACAACTCTTTTTAACTCTTTCTTTGCAATCTTATATTATTTTAAAAAAATCTTATTTTTTAAGTTTTTTGTTATATTTTGTAACATTCTTTTTGTTTTTACTGTAGTTTGGACCTCATAATTGCACCACCAAGTTTTTTTTAACAAATGCTCCATTCACGTTTAATTCTCGAAGATCATCATATTCCAAAATACGTTGGTTTAATCTTCCAAATTTCATGGTGCTGATTTCACATTTGGCCCTATAATAATCTATGTTTTCTCCTGTTAAGTTCCATCATATTCCAAATTATGTTGGTTTAATCTTCTAAATTTCATGGTGCTTATTTCACATTTTACCCTATAATAAACTATGTTTTCTCCTGTTTAGTTCCACCACCCACCCAGTTCATGATTTTTTTTTAATCTCTTTTCTAATTCTTTTACAATTTCTTGTACATAGAACTAATACCATAAACCTTTGTTTTGTTGGCAAACTTCTTATGAATAACCTTCTTGTCCTTTTATTATAAAGAATAAACTTTCTAGTTTGAAAAAAAAAATTATTTGACTCTTGTTAGTTAGAATAGGTGTTTTCTATCATGAGATCATGCGTCATTCTTATCCCCAAAACCATGTCCATTTCATTATAAGACAATTAAAGTTTCCTCCAATTAAACCCCTTAATATGTTAAGGGGTTTAGCCGAACCACTATACATTTTGAGTTCATTTGTGGCATGCTTTTAATGTGTTTAATTTGAATGCTTCATATGCTTGTTAGTCACCTTCATAAATCGAAAATATAGTGTTAGATGTTTGGATAAGATTTATGCATGTTGATGATCTTCAGTGGAGCTTAATTTGTTGATTGTGTAGCCACATAATTATTGTGTGTTAAATCATATTTGAACACATTTAGGGTGTAAACATATTGTTCAAAAAAGAAGTGAAAAGAAAAATCAATTGGACCATAAACAGAAAGTTAGGGGGTTCTATAGTTGAGCCTGTCAGCCAGCCCTAGAGCCAATCAACCGGCTTACTGTTCATTACAGAACTTTGTTCTACTTGGGTTTAATCCTATCAACCTAGAGGTTTCAAATATATAAATCACTCACATCTTATATCACTAGTGTTCAAATCTAAAAGTGAGTTGAAATTGTAAAAGACAAAATTACCCCTAGTTGAATAATTAATAAGAGTAATCTAAGGACTTAAGCTAAACAAAAAAATATTTCACCCCCCCCCCCCTTCCCCCTTTTAGGACTGCACGGCTATATGTGTTTGTGTATTTTAGAGTAGATTGGCATGGTGGTTACAGAGTGTATGTGCATGTCTTGGACTTGGAGAGAAGAAGAAAAGGAGAATGTGCGGAGGGAGGGAAGGAAATTTCTAAAATTATATTTGCAGTTTGGAATTTGTCTAATTGGCTTGTATTGATGCCGTTATACTCTACAAATGAGGCAACCATATACTACTCACTACCTGATATAATTTCTTCATTTCCTTTTGTGGCAAAATATCCCTACCGATTTCAACAGCCTGATTCTAGTCAACGCCACAAAGCTTCACATTGTGCCACCTCTGGGTTTAATTGCTTCTCTAGGAGCTGAACAGAACTGTAGGATTGTAGGAATGATGTATAATGCATGATCCTCAAGGAATTTAGCACCAATTTAGGGTGGATGTGATAAGGGGTTACTTCGATTGAATTATTTAGTTTTTGGGCCTAGCTAGGTACTAGGTAGTATAGAATTGGTGTTTTAGGCTCTATGAGAGGTGAAATAAAAGAGAAATGTTGGAGGATTAATAAAGCAGGGAATGGAAGATTGGTTAGCACTGTTTGAGGAAATAAAGTTTAAGCTATAGTATATTAGTCATTATATGGGTACATTAAAGGCTGCTGAGATCTGATTTTGTGCTTCTAAAAGCTTCAAAGTGCTGGCAAGCAAGAGAACAAGGATCTTAGTTATCACAAATCAAACACGATTGATTACATATTTGTAAGAGTTTCAAATTATTTTCCATCCTATACCATGAGAAGGTATAATATCACCAACAGCTCCTGTGCTCACCTATTATCTTCATGCCTCTTGGTGTTACATACTCAAGGTCCCAATCTATGAAGCACAGACACTCTCTAGAAGGTGATGTATCCGTGTTGGACACGTGTCTGATGCTCTTTTATCTGTGTCCATAATTAAATGAAAAAAATTTAATTTGGGACACGTGTCTGACACTTCTTTGGTGACGTGTTCAACAATTCTTTAGAGTGTCTAGTGTCTACTACTAAACAATTGTTGAACTTTGGTTAAAATTTTGAGAACAT